GGCTAATCCCTGTTAAAAAAAAAAAAAAAATTCGGTTTTCAGAGCTTTTCGGTTTTCGGAATTTCGGATAAGAGTTGTCAACCTGTACCTGTAAAAGAGAGAGTGAAGCAACATTGTGGTGAAGAGAAAGGGAAGAGAGATTATCAACTAAAGAAGGAGAGTTAATAAGCCAAAATGCTTTTGATTGCATCCTATCTTAACAGTTGGACAGAAGAAGAGCCACCCCAGATATGATAGCAGTACTCCAAGTTAGGAGTACTGTACTATGCCATTGAGTTACACAAATCATTATCAAAACCTTAAGTACAGTTTTGAAGAATAATTTTACCAAATTATGCTTAGGAATTTCATACATACCAGCCAATATTGAAACTGTACAAAGCAACAAATTTGTATTTTACCAGCCAGTCACTTTCATTCCATAAAACTGCCGTTTATGTACTAACATAAATATGGGATTTTTATTTTAATCTGAAGCTTATGTGCACTACGCCTCCTGTTGTCTCAATAAGGGTGTCAAAATCCTTCGTCCGTTGTGCTATCTGTAATGTCTCACACAAAATTGTAAAGATACTTTTTGGAGCGAGTGTACATTTGTATTTGTTATTATGTGGAATATACCTGCACGTGGAACAGCAAGTGAAGTAAGGAAGTAAAATAGAGTGTAATATTTTTTCTGTTGTCGAAGATGAAATTAGTTAAATTTGTTGTGTAATCTTTCTCTATTTTAATTTTTTTTTTCATATTTCACAGTAACATGAAATCTGTTTTCTTTACCCTTGCAGGCAAGATCAACGGGCTCTCTATGTTGGGCCAGAAATTATTCATATAGATTCCTAAAGCCAGAGAACATGTCAGAGCGAGTCTCCCTAACTCTAACACCGTTCATGGAGGAAGACTCTGATGAAGAAAGGGAGAATGAACTATTGTATATGAAGACATAGGTAACCAAGTATCTCAGAAATTAGGATTTATATATATATATATATATATTATTACAAAAGAAGCTGATGTGAGTAAGGAAGAAGCCAAGAATTACAGCACATCCTGACTGTACCTGTCGCTACGACATAGAACTAGATCCTTTCCATACTTAAGTATCCTCAGGTCATGTTTGTGGATCAAGTCAAATTTTTGTGTAATGTGCCTCTAAGATGAGGGTGTTATTTTTTCTAAGTATGAATGTTCATAGATTGCTTTTTGTCAGAACACTTTCTGGAAAATAACATTGATGCTTTTCTCTCATTAATGCTCAGTACTGTAGTGAGCATATCTTTAAAATAAATACGTGTGCCATGATGGTGGAGCATATCACTGAAGGAATTTTCACATTTTATGTGTAAGACAATACTACATGTATTTTGATTAATTAGATATATCTGCTCTATGCTCTTTGTCATCAATCTTTTAATTGCATTATTAACTGTATTCGTGAACAAATTTAAACAGATTTTGTAGTACCTGGACGAGGCAGTTTTCTGCTATTCAAGGTTTATCAAAATTGAATATGTTATAGTATATGAAATTTTAAATATACTGTTAAGATATACTATGGCAAAAATTGGTGTTTTGTCATTTAATTATTTGAGTATTTTTCAATGGATGTTATTTTGCAGTTATCATATTTTTTATAGCATTAATGAAACATGAATGTACTTTCTGAAGTGCAAATTTCTATTTATTCAGGAGAAATTACAAAATAATTGAACAAGTAAAGAAAGGAGACATTTTTACAGACATTGTAAGTCAGTCCTCGACTTACGACGGGGTTAGGGACCGACGACCAGGTCGTAAGTCGAATTGGTCGTAAGTCGAAAATGCGAAAATAATACATAGAAAATCTAAAATGGGTGTCTCATGTTCTTCTCGGCACCACGAGAACTCTCACTTTTACACTTGCCAGCCATTTTAAAGGGAATTACAAACGAAAATTTTGGCAGTACACAGCGCGATCACTAACGTCGGGACTCGAAAATACGTAATTTTAAGAATATTTTATACGACTGCGGCAATCGTATGTCCAGGTGGTCGTAAGTCGAGTAGGTCGTAAGTCGAGGAATACCTGTATAGGTTATCAGTGATGTGTGACTCCATTCCAAGAATGCTTTGTGAAAGTAGCCCTAAAAGTATGTGAGTCATAATGTGAGCTTGAGTTTCCTCAGTTCCTAAAATAATGTGCAATGAAATTTTAAGTTGGTTTTTATATCACATTTGTTTTGTGGTTTAGAATGTTACCATTGAAATTTCATGATCTATAAATAACATCTTTGAAATAGATGGTGTCACAAATTTGTACTTTTATTTTTTATTTGTAAGAAGATAGTTTCCCTTCTCTAAAATACAGTACTGTACTGTAGTAATTTTAAGATATGTAAAGAATAAGGGATGACCTTGGGAAACTGGGAAATGATCTCAGACCTTGGCAGAGAAATGTAGAGTATTGAGTCCAAGGATGTAGACTAAATGACTCTTTCTCATCAGAGAGGTTGCCATACTGCTTAGCAGCTAACCATAAAGTATATTACAGTGTATCAGAAAGCATTATTTTCTATAAGGTGAATATACCTGTAAGTACAGTACAGTAAAAACTTTCTTGACCCCCAAAAACAATAATACCTGGGATTCTGAATTTGTGAGTTAAGAGAATCAGCTGTGGGTTAGTTACAGTGTAGACTTATTGCAGTTGAATATGAAATGACCAATGTTCACAGACTAGCAGAACCATTATGATCAAAATACCTGTACTAGCCATTTACAAAATATCATGATAATGTTCCGTAAGTAAAATATCAGTTGTATTGTACCCTAAAGCTCTCAACATTGCAGTGAAATCTTTGTACAGTACTATAATCTTTAATCATAGACTAATGAGATATAAACCTATTCTGTACAGGTATGGTAATGTCAATTCACTCAAGTATCAAAACGCTTCTGTAAATACAGTACTGTATGTAAAACTTGTGGCTTCATTTGCTGTGGTTAAGAGATTTTTTACTGGACCTTTTATTTTCAATAGTGATCTTTTATA